ACCTCAAATCAGTGACAAATAACTAAATCGAAAAGCTATTATTATGTTTTCAGCTGATGAAGTTACATTTACATAGGTAAGGATATTTGGTTATATGCTACAGTATTATGTTAATCTTTGGTTAGAGAGGGACACAAACATGATTGGCCTTTAAGGGACAAAACGGTGCCGGATTATCTCAATGGAACAACAAACTGTTTTCACACAACATTCAGTTTACTATCGTCCATGTCAAGCTCAACCTTTTTTGAGTGATTGAATCAAATACATTTAAACATTTTTCAATTTGTCACAGTGTTATCAACAGAGAGGTGTGTGTGTGTGTGTGTGTGTGTGTGTGTGTGTGTGTGTGTGTGTGTGTGTGTGTGTGTGTGTGTGTGTGTGTGTGTGTGTGTGTGTGTGTGTGTGTGTGTGCTCATGTGTGTGCGTGTGTGCAGACACCTGTATGAGCTGGGAGGTGAAATGAAACCACAGAGGAACAGATGTTGTTTCAAAAAGGCTTTGATACCTAACAACTCTGATATCTGAAGCTGACAGTAGTTTAGTTTCTCTGCTGATTACCCATTCAGTATTTGAAATGTTACTGTTAAAAAAATGCACATACGAACAAGCATTTGACTATAATTTATATAGAAACATAGAGAAAAAAGCATCAAAAGATCCATAGAAACGGGGACAAATGATAACTCTCTTTTTGATTAACCTGTTGTTCCAACCAATCTAGAGGATTTTCATTTATTGATGTAGTGACCATTGTTTTTTTTGTAGTTGCAACCTTTTACAGAAATTGAAAAGTGTAGCTGGGTTTTTTCAATTGAGCAAGATTTTCTTGCACTGCTTTTCAGTTCATCTTTTAATTTGAAAGGTGTTTCTATTAAGTTATAGAATTAAATAAATATGTCAATTAACCTATACTCTCTTTTTATACATTTAAATGTTGTCCTCTTCCCTTCCAGGCAGCTCCTAGTTTCCATTCATTTCACAATCGCATTAAAAACAACTTTGAGAGCCAGAGGTAAATACCAATTGATTGTAAAAACATTGTTAAAAGCAGTTTGACACAGCGGTAACACAACTCTGAACAAACATCACGTCTGCTTTTGTTGTCACTGTGACGGATCACCCCACTCAAACAGGCTCCATGTCTCTGCATGTTGATTTTCATGCAGCAGTGGACATGAAAGTAGCTGCCACACAATCTAAAGTATGCTTTGGAAGAAAAAGATTCTGTAGTAAAGTTTGCATCATTTGTAAGTAAATAGCCTAAAGGTGTGTTCAGGCTGAGCTCAAAGAGGGGGTTAGAGGCAGAAAGAGTGTCAATGGAAAGTCACATGTGCACAGGGATTTGTCCGCTCTTGTGTCCTCTCTTTTCAAATATACAGATGTGGATTTAACACAGAAAGTCTTGGTTCAGCCAATGACAAGACCACAAGATTAGAAATGATTCAACATTTGCAAAAACTTCAATCATTTACATCGAAGAGTAAAACCAGAGAAATGCTAGAAAACCAAACGATTTGGCTAAAGTTTGTACAGTTGGTGACTTGCCTTTTTTGGGTGAATAAACATAGACTACAAAGACATTTCACATAAATAAAAGAAGTTGAAAATGATTACGTTATCTGTTCTTAACTCAACCCTAAAGGGCCGTTACATCAATATTTTCAAAGCCACCAGACTCCTTTGATAAAAACAGTAATTTTACCTTACAGATTAAGATGTTTGTTTGTGGTATGGTGTTACTTTGGTGAGTCCTAAATAATCCCTTTCAAATCAATGCCACACAAACAAAACTACAGATCGTTTACCGTCACCGTTTCAAGTGTCAGCCATGATCAGGCTGGTCAAGTTCTCGAAGGAAATGGGCTTCAATGCTTCCTTTCTTATCTCCTTTAGCAAAGGGTAATAGACATTACTTCACCAAAGGAAGGAGACAATGTTTTATCACAATTCCTTGCAGCAGAAAAATGTAAAGGTCCCATGTCATGGCCATTTCTACTGATCATAATTCCATTGTTGAGGTATTTATACCTTGTGCAATTTTCCAAACTCACATTGGTTTCTCATACAGCATCTCTGTATAGTATGTGTATACACTCTCTGTCCTACACGGCTTGTTGGAGCTCCTGTCCTGCCCAGCAGAATGCTGCGTGGGGTCTGGGTGCCGTGTTGGCGGGACGTTGCGCGGCTCGCTGCTGCGAGGAGCAGACAGTGTGAGCTGGGTTCATTTCCTGCTCGCTGCGTGGGGTATGCGAGACAGCGAGACATCGCGAATGGACGCGGGAAGGTGGGGGGTGCGGAGGGGGCTGCAGTACCCCCATCTGCGAGGCTCTGCAGCACTAGCACCCACAAACCCCCCCCAGCGCGTCACAGTTTCGCCGCTGAGAGAGTGTGTGTGTGTGAGGAGCTCCACAGATTGCTCCATCAATGGGTCCATTTGGGTATGGTCACGTCACTGTACTCAGGAAGAAAAAGAGAAATCTCCAAAGAGGCGTTCTGGGGCAGCATAGACAGGTATTTTCTTTGTTAGAGTTTTACTCGCTACAGGGTGTACTTTGAGGGTTTGTGACTCTGCAGACCTGTGTTATGACAAGCCTTCATAACACACAAGGGGACGGGTAATAACCGGAAAAGCATGACATGGGACCTTTAAAGCAATGGATGTCAATCACATTCGTAGCATCATTAAATGGCCTAGTATGCATTTGGATTCTTTTAGCACCATCTTTGACCTTATGGTGTTTTCCAACAAGGTCAAGAAAAAGTTGTGGAGAAGACATTGGATGTATTTTTTTTTTTACTATTCATCTGCAGCCAGGATTTTTGAAATGGTGTACTCACTCATGTCAGGCATGAGTTGATCATTTTGATAAATTAACAAAGTTGGTTGATGTTTTGTAAAATACGTTTCTATTTGTTGTCCAGACACAAGGTGTGTGTGTGTGTGTGTGTGTGTGTGTGTGTGTGTGTGTGTGTGTGTGTGTGTGTGTGTGTGTGTGTGTGTGTGTGTGTGTGTGTGTGTGTGTGTGTGTGTTCTTGTACTTCTGTTTTTGGGAGGACCAGTTTTAGCCTTAGGCTGTGAGGACTATTCCTTGTGGTTTGTTTATGGTGTTCATTATTTGGTAAAGAAGTATACATTTCAGTGTGTATATAGTGCAAATGCTTGAGGTTTCCTTGTGTCCTCACTTAAAGCTGGGAAAATCACCACAAGTAATTACACATGTATATGTGTGTGTGAGTGTGTGCGGGGGTGTTTGTGTACACATGAGAGATTGATGCCATCCAGGCTTCACACATGAACTCCTCGCTGTTTGCTTTCATTTGTCAAGTAACCTGAGTGAAGGTAAATCAGACTGAGAAGGACTCGTCTTGGCACACACACACACACACACACACACACACACACACACACACACACACACACACACACACACACACACACACACACACACACAGCAACACACACAAACACACCCTTTTAGACCTTTGTCCCCCAGAGAGCGTTGTGACCTTTGTCCGATGTGGGATATGGCTATGTGTGTCGAGAGAGAGAGAGAGAGAGAGAGAGAGAGAGGTTATTGAGCACCACAGATTTTTCCAATTATACTTGATTTAGTTGAATTTAGACATCAATCAATTAAATCCTGGCAGTGTTTACTCATGTAGTCTCAACACGCTCATACACATGGACAATATGACCGGGTATTGAACCTTTGTTCTTTATTTTTTTACCGGCTGAATGGGTTTTTCATGTCCTGTTGTCGTCTTCATTGTATAACAAGAACTGACAAAAAGACCAGAGGAGGATGTAAATGGCAAGCCAAGATTACAAATCAGTTAGAAATTAGGGACATTAATATTCCTCTATAAATACAGTTGAGTATTAATTGTAATATTGAAAAAGGATGAAATGTAAAATGAAACTCTAATCTGGGCCTTGAGCTGACTCAGGATTAAAACCACAGAAAACTTGAGTCAAATAAATGGACTGTAAATAGAAATGACATTTTCGAAAAACAAACTCTGTCGGGTGAATTGCAGCATGACAACAACAACGACTCCTTTAAAGAGACACTAAATATACCTGTCACTATTAAACCAACTAATGTGTGTGTGGTCCATTTTGTCCGAGTGTCAGAGGATGGAGAGAACCCATCCATCGTTTAATACCTCTTAAGCCCTCCTGCTAAACTCCTTACCTCCTTATACAGGAAGTCACAACTCTCTGATGCGTTCAGGTGCCGTTGGTGGGGAAGATCACAACATGGTCCGTGTCAAAAGGAGTTTGTAGACTTCAGGCTTCACTGAGCTGCACAACAAAGAGGAAATAAACAAGTCAGGAAATTTACATTTTAATTATGTGAACGTGTGTTTAAATTACGTGAAGTATGTTCATAAAGGACAAATCCAGATTAGGAGTTTTTGGAGTATAATCAAGATCAAACTTTAAATGGAATGATGTTTAAGGTGTAACGAACCAAAATCCGTAAATACCACATATCCTTGAATTGAACATACTAGTAGCATTTTTATTTTTTTAGATGTATGAGTGGGACCTTATAAACATTAGACTGTCAAGTAATGTGAAAATGATTGTTAAAACAGTAAGTCAATTGATTCATCAGTTGATTTGTAAAAAATATCCAAGTTTATTAGGTCATTAAGTCGTGGTTAAGTCATGTATCAGGTAAAAAAGTTAAATAATATAAAAATAACAGGGACAAATGGTAATACATTAAATGCAAGTATATTAACGGTTTATATTGTTGTAATTGTGTATATTTTTATATCATTTATTTGGTATCTTAATACTTGTTACCAGTCACAGGGGTTTACAGAACTGACAATGTTTGTTACACATGTTCCTTTTCATACTCTCCTCTGTGCAGCCATGGTTGAATGGTGACATTTCCGACTGCCCATGAACGCAGCAGTGTGTGATGAGGAGGTGCTGCAGCTTCAGGCGGACTTTATTCCGTCCCGGGGCTCAGTGAAGGCTGCACGCGCTGCACCTGACAACACGGGAGAAGTGTTCACCCTGATGGACGGTTCGGATATTCTTCTGTTTTATATCCTCTCAGCAGAGATAACACTTTAAAACTTTGAAAAGACAAACTACCATGTGCCTGAACGCTGTTTTCAGGTGGGAATAAACGTCAAGTGGATTTTGCACGCCGGGCTCCGGACCCAGAGACAGGAGAGATTTATCTGCACTTTGAATAACTATTTGTTTATTATCACATTTTTCTGGACTGCTTTTAATATTTTTTTTCAACGCGAGTCTCATAATGCGACTTGTTCTGTCATTTGCAACCTGTTGGGAGCTGACAGGTCTGGTGAAAATGTTACAAGGTCGTTAAATTTATTGGAACGTGACCACCGGAGATGAACTTTCTCCGTGCAGATTGCAGGAGCTCTGGTGAATGATTGACAGCCGCTCGGGCTTTATGGACAAACTGGATGTACCAACTTGTTTAGTTTTAATCATTAAGAGACTGAGAGGAACATAATGAAGCTCTGGTCTTTGAGATTCATGAGATGAACTAAAGCTTCTTGCCCCCTCCATTTATCCTTTTCTTGTTTTAATGACTCTAAGTAATTTATAACACACTTTCTATATGGCATTTACGCTGAGGGACCCGCGGCCCCTCGTGCTGCTGGTGCTGCTGCTGTTCCGGTGTCCTGGTCTCACTTTAGGAGCCTCCAAGGAGCTGGTGTGTGAGCCTATAACTGTGCCCATGTGCAGGGGCATCGGCTACAACCTGACCTACATGCCCAACCAGTTCAACCACGACACCCAGGAGGAGGTGGGGCTGGAGGTGCACCAGTTTTGGCCCCTGGTGCGGATCCGCTGCTCCCCGGACCTGCTCTTCTTCCTGTGCAGCATGTACACCCCGATCTGCCTGCCGGACTACCGCAAGCCCCTGCCCCCCTGCCGCTCGGTGTGTGAACGGGCCAAACGAGGCTGCTCCCCCCTGATGAGCCAGTATGGCTTCGAGTGGCCCGAGAGGATGAGCTGTGAGCAGCTGCCCCAGCTGGGCGACGAGGTCCTGTGCATGGACCAGAACAGCAGCGAGACCACCACCCTGGCTCCACCTTTCCCCAAACCAACCCCTAAAGGCCGGACCAGACCGCCCAGCCCCCCTCAGTGTGACAGGGAGTGCCGCTGTCGAGACCCCCTGGTCCCCATCAAGAGGGAGTCCCACTCTCTGTACGGCCAGGTCCACACCGGCCCCCTGCCCAACTGTGCCCAGCCCTGCCACCAACCATACTTCTCAGCCGACGAACGTGCCTTCACCACCTTCTGGGTGGGACTCTGGTCGGTGCTGTGCTTCATCTCCACCTTCACCACTGTCGCCACCTTCCTTATTGACATGGAGCGCTTCAAGTACCCAGAGAGGCCCATCATCTTCCTCGCTACCTGCTACCTCTTCGTGTCTCTGGGTTACATCATCCGCCTGGTGGCAGGTCATGAGCGGGTGGCGTGTGGCACCAGCAGCAGCGTCGGGGGGGACCAGCTGCACATCCTCTACGACACCACCGGCCCCGCTCTCTGCACCCTCGTCTTCTTGTTGGTGTACTTCTTCGGCATGGCCAGCTCCATCTGGTGGGTGGTGCTGTGCTTTTCCTGGTTTCTGGCTGCAGGGATGAAGTGGGGCAGCGAGGCCATCGCAGGATACTCTCAGTACTTCCACCTGGCCGCATGGCTCATCCCAAGTGTCAAGACTATCGTGGTGCTGGCTCTCAGCTCTGTGGACGGGGACCCTGTGGCTGGAATCTGCTACGTGGGGAACCAGAGTCTGGAGAACCTCAGGGGATTCGTACTCGCACCTCTGGTGGTTTATCTCTTCACCGGCTCACTTTTCTTACTTGCCGGCTTTGTTTCTCTCTTTCGCATCAGAAGCATCATCAAGCAAGGTGGAACAAAGACAGACAAACTGGAGCGGCTGATGATCCGCATCGGGCTCTTCACTGTGCTGTACACGGTCCCTGCCACCATCGTGGTGGCCTGCCTGGTCTACGAGCAGCACTACAGGCCCGGCTGGGAGCGAGCGCTGGCCTGCTCCTGCCCGTCTGAACGCCAGCGCTCGGGCATGGGCCCAGACTATGCCGTCTTCATGCTCAAATACTTAATGTGCTTGGTGGTGGGCATCACCTCAGGAGTCTGGATTTGGTCAGGAAAAACCCTAGAGTCCTGGAGGAGGTTTGTGGCTCGATGCTGCCCCTGCTGGCCGCAGAAAGCCACTGCTCCACCCTCCATGTACAGTGAGGCCAGCACTGCTTTAACTGGACACACTGGAACTGGACTTACCTCAGGGATCTACCATAAAGCTGCTCCGTTGCATATATGAAGTGAATGAAGAAAAGGAGGACTGATCTAGGTGCAGTCACCTCTCTGGACAGAAATGAACTAAACTATCCAAACACCCAGAAAGTTAATGCGGACAAACATTTCCTTGCGAATCATTGGGCTCTGAATAGTGAAAATATGAAAAACATTGGACCAAAAGATGCAGAGCGTCAAAAGAGAAAATTCAACATCCTTGGTAATAGAAATTTAAACAAACATTAAACAAAGCTTATTTAAAAGAGTCTGACTTTTGTGAAAAGTGACTCCAACAATTGAAATTTCGAAGCGGTCGACCACAGTTGACATTTACTTGGAAAATGATCTTAAAGGCCCACAGAGTTACATGGATCCATGATGGAGTCACGCATGCTTCTTCCTGTCTGTTTACCCTGAGCATTGAGAGAAAAAAACATATTTATTGATGTATATATTGTAAAAATATGCTGTAAAAAATATTAGGTGTATAGTGTGTTAATGTTTAGTTTGTAACCAACCAATGCCACTGACACAAGCTAAGTCTGCGACACCAGAGAGACAAATCTTGTCTGATTTAAATCGTATTAAGTTGTACATAAATGTGACATTTCATTTCAATGTTTGAGTGTGATATCTGGTGTGTTTTGAATGAATACAAACTGAAACAGTGCTGAAAAACTGTCTTTGTGTTTCCTCAGACTGGGAAGTCATCTGAGAATCACTCAAACAAAAAGGAATTGAGTCTCTTTAAAGGATACTGTTGTGACCTCTTAAGCCTGTTGTTTGTATACATCCCACTCAAAGTCACTAAAGACTGAACTGGTTTTGTTTATGTTGTTTGAAGCAACAGGCTGTGATCTGGTTAGAGCTGCAGGAAGACACGTCTTTACCCCCATCTGCTGGTGAACAGGGCTCAAGTTATGATCTCCATCAGGGATCCAAATATATCAACTTTAATGTATTAATTGATTTTTTTACCAAAACTATGTAAACAAAAAAGTATAAATTACGAATAAATAGTGATAACAGGGAAATCTACTACTGGAAACATAATGTATTGAAAATTCTTTATGGCTTATTTTAGGACAGTTCTGCCGGGGCCTCCCTGATACACAGTAAAAGACCCCTGAAAGATCCCTGGACCTCACTTTGAGAACCATTGCGTTCACATGATTTCATTGCCACGAAGAGACATATGTTGTGGTACGTAGACTTTTAAAATAATTACATTAAGAAACGAGACGACCGACTGAACATTACCCAGCATCCATTTTATTGAGCGACTATTCATTAGTAATGCAATTCATGCTTTTGACAGTTGACACTGTAAACTGAGGCTCGCTCTGTTGGTTGCAGAAAATAAACAATTTAAAGTTGCCTTGGTGATAGGCATTATAAAAATCTGCAGATTAATTGATGATGAAAATCATAATTACTAGTAGCACCATTTTTGTTTAATCTTTAAAATCAAACTATGTGGCTTTTATATATTTTATTTTTGTGACAATCTAACTTAAAGGAGACATATTTTTACCTCGTTTGCAGGATTATTGGGTTTCTATTAGACATGATTACATTTTTTATTTTACCCAACAAAAACACGGTCTGCATTCACCCCCCAAAAAGGTTTCTTTGCTCTGATTGGCTAACAATAGATGCTGCAAAGGTAGTTCTCCAGCCATGGGTGCAGGTATATTCTAATGAGCCTGAACGTGACATAGGTTGTGGAATCCTAAATACATCCTACCTAATCTGGTCTAATGTGGATCATCAGTTTTAGGAGTCTTGACAATATAAACTGATCGACTTCTGTTTCTTCTCAGAGATCATATTTGGTGTTTATTTTCCAAACACTACGTACCTGTTAGCACAATCCAAAACTGAGAAAAACAATTTATAAATAATGTTTTCTCACAGAATTCAGAGCAATAGTTCACAACATTAGGAGGACACAGAATGTGAACTAAATAAGTGGGATTTGGTGAAAACAGAGAATATTTATTGTTTTCTGCCGTGACTGTGATGTTTCTTTCAATGCTGTTGGCCAATTGTGTTAAGACTACTGTGCGTCCACGCGCTAGACGATATCTAATTTATTAGTCTGATTTGTGCGAGTGAATGCGTATGAGTGATAATGAATGGCTAAAGGTTTGCAAAAACTGACCGTTTCTTTTGTTGATGTGTAAATCTGCTTTCATATTGAGTTCCTCAAAGGATATAACAGATATTGTAGATTTTGTTCATATTGTGGAATTAAAACAAGTTGATCTCAAGTTTGGTGACGTACGTCTGTGTGTTTCTGTACATCTGACATAACATGTTGATTTATCCTGAGGTAATTACACTTATGGGTATGCAATGGTCTTTTCTCTGGATGACTGGTTAATTCAGCTTTGTTACACACTTTGTTACGACACCACCTTTTGATCACCTCAAGCTCAGACACACAAACACAATTCAAACAAACTCAATTCATTTCTTTGTTATATGATTAGTGTTTATTTAAAATACTCCATCTGCAAATGTTTTTTTCAATTAAAAACAAGACACGTTTCACAGCTAGATAGCCTACATAGTAAGCAAAAAGGAGGAGAGTATCCATGAGTGTTCCCCCTCTCAACATCTATGTAGTTTGTTTGAAAGCTCTGATCCGGGCCTGGGAAAAAACAATGTTGGTAATCTGTCTACGGGCTCTTTGAGGAGGGGTCAGGATGGCACGGTTTGACGGGGCACAATACTAAAGGTGGACAGACTGGACCCAATCTAGATTTAGTCATTATTTCAACCTAACTGCTGAATCGAGCCAAACGGTAGCAATACTGATCTGGAAAGTGTAACTGACCCCAGATTGGCACTCCAAAATCCAAAACACACTACAAACAGACAACAGCTGACTGAAGGTCAGCGTACTTCAGCCCAATCCGGTGGAATATTTATAGTTTAATACTTTGACATGCTTTGTGCTCCATCCAAATGTATATGTGTAGATAATATACTGAAATAGTATCAACTGTTATTAACAGTAAACAAGTCTTTTGTTACACTCTCAAAAATAACTTTTGGTATTACCTGTCATTTACAAGGAACAGTTTTTGCATTTGACCTGATAAAATATCAAAAGACAACAAGCAACAAAGGTTTGCGAGTGACCTCATGATTCCTTAATCACTTGAATTCACTTACGACATTGTGTGTTTGACAAAAAAAGACCAGCTGATAACCTGCATCTCTGACAAAAACTATGAACACATCTGGATGATACACTGGGTCAAATGTTCCTTCATTACTATGAACACATCTGGATGATACACTGGGTCAAATGTTCCTTCATTACTATGAACACACCTGGATGATACACTGGGTCAAATGTTCCTTCATTACTATGAACACACACTTTAGTTGTTGTGTATCGTACACTGTTTATCTTGAGTCAATACACCATCCTAATGCTGCAATTTTTTGTATTAATCCACCAATCAAATTAGTCCAACAAATGCACTGTTTCCTCCTGTTTGTGTATTGTTTGAGAGACCTTGTTGGACTCAAATCATGTTTGTGACAATATCAAATTGTGAGAATTGTTGTTTTTTGCCTTCTCATGGAGTTCCAGTGACTAACAGACTAATGCCAGGATGAATGGAATAAATCAAATATTATTTGGGGGGGAAAAAAAGTTACACTTTTATGACAAAACAAAGACTAGTCCTCAGAGATAACTGCAGTAGAGCAGTCCTACATAACACTTTCTCTGAGAAATAAGGGACAAGTATGAAATAAATAAGGGACTGTGAAAAAAATAGTTTTAAGGTAACACCAATTTCAAGGTTAATGTTGCAGTCATGCAGCTCTCAAGAAGTAAAGCAGATAATTGTTTGGGCAGATCGTACAGAAACATGTCTGCCTCTTGCCTGATGGGGATGAGGATAAGTGGAGCCTGGGAGGTTTGTCCGGGCTGGCTGGGGGGTCTCTGGGTTTGAGATGAGGGCAGCAGTCGGCCTACGACAGCACAGCGTTGGTGTGTCGCACACCGATCAGGTTGTCTGCGCTGCAGGATCGCCTCATCGATGCTTTACACAGGTCCTTATACTTGTCTTCACAAAGTCTTGAAATGGCCTGAACGCACAAACAAAACAACGGTTGATGAAAAGGTTACATTTCAGATTTGTATGTTTGATGTAGCAGGTGTTGAATTTGAAGAAAAAAATAATATTGTATTTGTTTCTCTTTAGTTTAGGAGAAATTCACCGTGTTTCAAAAGGAATAGATACATTGGTTTTTATTTAATGAAGCCCAGATTTATTTTCCTTTGTTTTTTAAAAAATTATTAATCCCCCCCCAAAAAACGAGGCTTGGAATTTGGTCTGAACTGAACCATGGATTTGGGAAATTGCTACATCACTACCTAAACTTAACCTTGTATAAATCACTCAAGTGCATTTGGGAATTCGATATCACCATCTTTACAAAGACATGTTATAATCAGATATCAGAGGCAGTACCAGAGGAGTGTGATGGGTTTGCTGCAGAGCAGAGAAGTTAATATTTCAGGAGCATCATAACGAGACCAACAGGTGGAGGTCTGATGGGGGCCGCTCACCTCTAGTTTCTTGGCGCGTTGGTTGTCGAGAGGCTCCAGAGGGAAGCTGAGGTTGTTGTCATCAGCCAGCTGCCGCAGATCAAAGTAGTACTTGGCATAGACACTGGCTGGCACGTTGATATTAAACTGGAGAAGTTCCAGGAATTGGCGCTCCATCTCATTCCTGAGGGGGAAGAGACCTGAGGGTTAGTACAGACAGAACCTCTGAGCAGAGACAGTGAACCACCGAGTGCAACAGTGAGACAGAAGAGCAGGGGATAAAAGCCCCGGATCCCCATAAAAAAAAACAAGAGACCTATGCTAGATGGATTGTAAAAGTTACCTCGAGAATTTAAATCTCAGGAAACAGTTTTTAACTTCCTAGCTTAGTCAAATCCCATCAGATCATCTCCTACACACTGTTAGTCACAATGCCAAGCACAACTGCTGACTTTATTGAATTAAATAAAAATAAAAAACCAATACAAAATAAGTATTCTTACTCATACATTTCTTTCAGAAAAGAGACGGTAAAAAGGGGACATTTTCATTGACAAAAGTAGCACTTTTAAATCGAAATCCCATTCGATCTTAATACAAAATAACAAGTGCATCTCGTCAGAGAAGGACTACACTGATGCTGTTCAGACCTCACTGTGATGTTAAAGGTCACCTATTATTCAAAACCCACTTTTTCATGTCTTTTATAAATAAATGTTTGTCCCTTCTGTGTTAAGAGAATAGATTCGGGAAGTTTCAGGAAAAAAAGATTCTCTCGTCCTGATCCGTTTATATAAAAACCTGTCTGAAAATGAGCTGATCAGATTAGGCCACTTAATGTCACAATGTTTTTACGGGTTGCACAACCATTAGCCAATAACCAACCAAGGTAACCCCCCCCCCCCCTTATCACCTGAATCTCATCCTAGAGCACCATTGTGTTTTTGTGAAAAGAAAGAAGGGCCCACAGTGAAGGTTTCCAGCAGGAACTCGTACACCAGCAAACTTTGAATTTACTTTAAACTCAACATGGAAGTGCTTATGGAGATGGAATCAAAGCTCACACACTCGCAGGCAATCAGACCTGTATCTGCGAGCAGCCACTTGGGAGTATCACAGCTCATCTTTTTCCAGACTACAACTCCATCATCTTTCCTCCTCCTCATCTTCATCACAGCCATGAGAAAAGCTAAGGGAGGTGGTCGCCAAGGAGACAGCATCTAGGATGCTTTGTTGGTCAGCAAAGGTGGTGAGTGTGAGCGTGAGTGTGTGTGTGATGTCTGGTCTCCCAGGGCAACTAATGGAGTGGGCGAGAGCCGGGGCCATTATGTAGAAGCAGTGAGAGCACTTGAGACCCTCCCCTGCATTTCTCTCCGTCTCTCTACCCTTCTTCCTCATCCCTCCATCAAGACCCGAGCGGCTCACAAAGACACTTCAATGGCAGCAATGAAAACAGAGCAGAGCGAGTGTGGGTCAGACATATGAGAGGAAGAGAGGGAGTCAGAAAGGGATGGGGGCTCGCAGACATGCAGGCAGAGCACGCACCTTTCCAAAAAACAAGGACACACACACACACACACACACACACACAATGCTCCAAGTGCTCCCTGGCCTCTTCAGCGGCGTATAGCCTGAGCGACAGCAGAGGAGCCAGAACATCTCTGCTGCTCTCTGCTCTAAGTGCATCTTTGTTGTTATATATATTTTATTAGGCGGGCAAGCATGTA